TTCTCTCTTATATCAGACCTTCTATTCCCAAATTGCAATCTAGCCTGCTGGGTATAATACAGTTCGTGAGGTTAAGCTTCCTAACTTTCGCGAGACTCCCTTGGACCTTACAAGGACGCCCGGAAGGATCGTGAACCAGGCAGTAGTATTCTACAAGACATCCTATGATTGAATCCTTCACCCTCCACTACATCCACTATGTTGTACATCCACTATAAAATAATGTTGGAAACATAAACAGTTCATCTTATCGTGATTTTAGCGCTGTCAAACCAACTCTAATTAGCGGGTCTGATTTGGTCATCTTCGCTAAGCCCAACCCAACAAAGAAACGGTGTGAGCTCTTCTTGTTTTTTGGATGGTTTCCCACGCGGCTCGCACCTGCACATGTGGAGGGGAGGGCGCTTAAGTTTTCCAACCGCTTCAAAAGGACGGTCTAGAACAACCATTTGGCTGGCATTTTGCCTCGGCCATCCTTGCGTGCACGGGGGCCCGTAGATCGCATACCCTCGTCTCCAAGACTCGATTGGAAAATGGAACCCTGAGACGGTTCGTTTGCCCGCAGCCCCTCACCGTTCAACGTTGTTTGCCAGAGGTTACGCAGCGCGGAGCTCCACTCTCCCACAGCTCGCAGCCGCTCCACGTCACTCGCACTCTCCACTACCACTGTCCCACTATCCTGGTCAATCTTGGCGTTCAGCTTTTTGTCCAGGATGAGGAAACTGAGAATGTCCAGCACCTCGGGGACAGAGACCTTGATATTTTTGGAGATGAATTGCAGCGAAAACCGGGTGTACGGCGCAATCAATTTAAGAACGGCCTTGGTACGCATGTTGCGGCTAACCTCGTCGATGTTCTCCGCAATGAAAGGATCAGCCAAGACGTCCGGATGTTTGCTCAGCACGTCCTCGTATGCATGAATGTCGTCCCGCTGGAAGGCGTCCACCAGGTCGGTCATCGCAGAAATACGGGGATCATTCTTGTATGGCTTGGTTTCTTGAGAATCAAAGGGGTTGATGTCGGACTTCATAAGCATGGTCGTTAAGACAAGGTATTTGAGCACTTGGATTCGTTGCATGGAACCTGCCTCGTCGTAATTTCGAAACGACTCGAAGAAATCGCTTTGTGCCTCCTTCCAGTTCTCTTCGCTCATGTGCATCTTGCCTCCACATTCACGGATGATGCCCATGATCTTGGGATGGGGCACAGCCGACCGTACTCGGAGGGCGCGCTGGTACAAGGCCTTCAGTCGTTTGTTATTCTTCGTTTCGGCAGACATTTGGATCTCAAGGGCGTATAGCTCGAGTAGATATGTTCCTTTGCTGGTGTCGTCCGATCCGTCCTCTCGTTGGCATGCCCGGTGCAATTCCCGCATCTTTTTACCCAGCTGGCCATATTGCTTGCGCTCTAGCCATAGGCGAGCCAGTTTAATGTTTGTCTTCAGCCAAAGGCGCTCATTGTTTGTATTTTGAAATGATTCAAGGGTCAGAGAGTAAAATTCCTCCATGCATTGGTACGCCTCTGCATTATCAGACCCTTTCTCGATAAAATCGAGCATGTTGTTGATCGACTTCTCGGAATAATTTCGTGTAACAGCGGATTTGACGTATGTGAGGAGTTCCCGGTAGTGTGCGACAGTCTAATGAAGAGATGGGAGTCAGTGGACAGCTAGATCAGGCTTAGGACATGAGCTCACATCGCCATACCGCCCAAGCTTAAATTCCAGCTTGATGGCCTGCTTGAGGCCTTTGAATCCCCTATGTTTTCAGAGTTAGCGCCCGTCGTTGCGACCAGCCTAGGGGTCAACAAATTACCAGTCGCTTTTGTCTTGTTCCATGGGCGCTATGCCTAGGAACTCATCGACTGCCTCTTCTGGATTATCAACCTTGATCTGCTTGGCATTGTAGTATTTGTTCTCGATTCCTATGTCACCAGAATCGTCGTCGTCTGCATCCTCATATTCAAAATCGTAACTGTAATTTCAACGGTCAGCTCGGTCTGGAAGGCGCAGTGGACAAGGGATTAATACTCTTCGTCCCCAGAGTCCTGCATAAAGTCATCATCGTCTGACATCTTAGGCGTGTGATATTTCGAGAAAAAAAAGAACAGAAGAAGGGTGGTCAGGATAGAGAGGGTCGCAAAGTGGTGGGGTTGGAGTGTTGGAGAAGCTGGGTCAGATAACAGCTGTGAGCTTCCGCCTTTAATTATCGTGACGAGAGCACTGACATTGAACTACAATATAACTACTCCGTACATTGCACATTGTTATCAGTTTATATACAAACAACATCAATGCAGTTTGTTTGGACAAAGATTGTTCAATAGGCCTCCGCTTATTCAATGCTGGGGTTGAAAGGTTGTTATCATTTATTGTTCTACTCTTATCAAAATACCGCCCTATGTGAAGACAATCCTGTTATAGAGGACCGTGCTAGTGCCTAGGACATACATGCATTAATTGAATTCTTCCAAGTATGCGACATTAAGTTGATAACTTAGGCTACCAGCACAAAAAAAAGGAAATTAAAGAGTTCCACCCAAAATAGTTGCAACCCCGTAGACTTTGTTACTTGGCAGGGGCTTGGTATGTTGACTATTCTAAAGCCAAGTACGAGCTTTAGTGTGTAGTAGAAAGTAAGTTCAAGTAGACTTGTATGAAAAAGAGCAAGCGGATCTATCATCTTCATGTCCAGTTTGTTACGGAAATGCCGGTGGAGTATAGGACCTAGCATCTAGGAACATGCCCAACAAACCGACATGAGACAGCTCTAAAATGGAATTAATTTAACCGCCAAATGATCCAAAGTTAAAAAACCTTTCAGGTGGACCAGAAGGGGGCTGACGCTATTCGCCGATCCCTCCAGCCCTTCAGTACGCGATGACATCGATTCAGCCATTCCTGGAATCTTCCCCCGACAACAACCTCAATCTTCTACTGTCACAAAATTGTTCCCAACTCTTATATGAGTACCACTTCACGAATAATCACATAACATTTGGACATACTGTTCCATTGCTACCCTATCTTCTCCTTCCGAGTCTCCTGAATCACTTTGCGCAATGCAGCTGTGCGGCCGACAGAAGGTGGTTCAGCGCAAGATGGTGCTGCTGTTAGTTTTGATCGGAATCTCTCCGCTGATCATTGGCGATTGGCCTGACATTTTTCTAGAGGTGATGGAGCCTGCGGCAAGACATCTGCGCTGAATGTGTTCACTCGTGGGTGCGCAATCTCCCCCTCACCCATCTCCGATGATGACAGCATAGCTAACGGACTTGGACTAGATTCTTTCCGACGGTCTAGTAAGGAATTTGACCTTTTTTGGAGCATACTTTCAAATCAAGGTTGCTGACTCTGGTTATTGTGTGTGTTCAGTGAACCTACAGTTTTTGGTATGTGCGCCGAAGTTGGAATAAATTCTGCATCGCTAACTCGGAGGAATTCAGAGAACTACGTGCATGGTACACAATTACGCCACTATGTCCCCTGACCACGAATTTTGAAACTCACACCCGCCGTAGATATCTTCGTCGACAAAATACATGTGGAGCTCTCGCTATGGGATACCGCCGGCCAAGAGGAGTTCGACCGACTGCGCGCGTTGTCCTACGAGGACACACATGTGTTGATGCTCTGCTTCAGTGTAAGCAAAACAGTCTCTCGCACATCCTGCACCATTTAAGCTAACAAATCTGATAAATAGGTCGACAGCCCTGACTCTTTCGAGAACGTGTCGTCGAAATGGATCACCGAGATTAATGAGAATTGTCCGGGCGTGCGTGTGGTTCTGACAGCACTCAAATGCGATCTGCGCAAGGACGAAGAGATGAACGACAACCCCAACTCCATCAGCTTCGATCAAGGCCTAGCCAAGGCAAAGGAGATTGGCGCCGTGAAGTACCTGGGTGAGTGCTCCTCGATTCATCTATACCTGATCGCACGGCTCATTTACCATTTCAGAATGCTCCGCAGTCCAAAATCGTGGCATCAGAGAAAGCTTCTACGAGGCTGCGAAGGTTGCCCTCGAGGTTAACGCGGGTGGGGGCTCGTCCTCCGGTTCGAAATGCATCATTTTGTGAGGTGATGTCTTGCGGTCCATTGCTGACATGCATGGTATCCCTCAATGTCTGTCATATCGACCTTCGATTACTTAGATATTCATCTTTGGAAGGTCTCCGTCCTCCTTTCTTCGCCCTCTATCTCTTTTTGTTTCCCCCCTACGATTATCTCGATGGATATGTTGATTCCCCCACGAAGTCGGTGTTTTGAGCTTGCTTTCGCCTTCTTTTCCTTCTTCTCCAGGGCAGACAATGTCTGCTCCATTCAGACCGCATAAAGTTGGTCCATGTTGATTGCATAATTGCATAGCTCCAGATCTCTCTATTCTGAGCTTTTCAGCGAGGTTGGTTGTTTGACTCCTAATTGTGACATTAAATTATAATCTTCATTGGATTTTGCGTGGCATTTAACGCATTGTTTCTCTAATATTTCCTTTTTAGATCCAAAGTTTTCGATCATTTGTTCACCGCCTTTCACTCACAGTTTAGAGGTACATCGGGTAAGGTACCTGGGTACCAAATTCTGCAGCAAAGGTACTTAATTGCCGGGTTACTTTTCTGCCGGCAGTACTGTCTCAACCATGTTGCCAACAACTTTCAAGGACCTCTGTGCTTGATGTTTCTCCACATCTTTTGTTTTCGCTCGCCTTGTGTGGCCTAATTCGCATTGTGACTACGTTATGAATACGGCTACGTACAAAATGCACTTCTTTGTTGGGCTTCTTACGTCGCATATCCATCGTGATTCAGACCACACAGTCCAGCCACCAAGCACAGCTCTCTCTCTATACTATACCAGCCGAGGTACGTACATCATCATACAGATCTTTTTTACAAGCTTGACAGCTGAGCTATCAAACAGCATGAAACGACCAATCAACAGAAATATGACACTAGTGACACGATCTCCACATCACCCAAGCAGAGCATCCGCAAGCAGAAGCTCAATGCTGGACATCAGTTAGCAAATCTTCCTCCCGGACCCGATAAACCTCGTCAATCTTCTCCCCCCGCGAATTCTCCCCACAGGCGAAATCCGCGTTGACCCGATTAACAAACTTCTCAACAAACGCAGCTGCAACATCCCCAACCTCTAATCCCGGAACACCCACACCCTGCAGACTAGTTGCCTCTTTGCCCTCCAGCCCACAAGCCACGATCTGCTTAAAGAACCACATCGGCTCATCCGTAACATTAAGGCCGATTCCAAAACTGCTGATATTGCGTCGCAGATGAACCCCCACTGCCGTGATTTTCCTCGGTTGCAAGGATCCTGATCCTGCAACGGGCTGCACCCACACCCCCGGATCTTCCGTTGTAAACCCTTCAACTCCGTAGCTCTTCAGTAGGTCGATGACGCTATTCTCCAAAACACGGATGTGGCACCGGGGCGTTAGACCAAGTCGCTTGAGATCCAGGATCGTATACGCGACCATCTGGCCCGGCCCGTGATAAGTTGTCTGTCCGCCGCGAAGAGTTGGGTGGTACTCTGCCTTTGCGGGTTGGTGACCGTCCAGTGTGAAGAGGGAGCGAATTGGCTCGAGGGCTGGTGGTAGAGAGAAGAGGGTGGGGTTGGTTGTGGAGGGTGGGCTTGTGTTTGAAGGTGGGAGGTCGCGACGGCCGGTGGTGTAGACAGGGTTTGGGGTGAAAGTGATGATTGTTGGGTCTGGTGGTGGGGGTAGAGCTTTTGCTAGTGTGGTGCTTTGGTTGCTCGGATCTTGTGAGAAAATTGAGCCTGGGGAGGCGAGCTTTTTGTGCGCGAGGAGGCGAGTTGTGAGGGTTTGTTGGAGGTGCGAAACGCGGCCGAAGGGCGTTGTGTGGGGGAGGTGGAGGTGCGCGAGTCTCATTTTGGGTAGGGTTTTGATGGTGAGATATGGTTGAGGTCTTGGTTTGTAGGAATTGAATCTCTCGGCGCACTTTAAGGTTGCTGGGGGGGGGGACTGTGTTTTTTTTCACGGAGTTAAGAGGTCGGTGGTTGCGGAGAAGCTGCAAGCTTGCTTCGATAAGGTTTGATAAGTGGTGGCCCTCTGCAATCTCTCTTGGGCTGTCTATATCTGTGTTGATTTTTCTGTTAATCCCAGTCAACAATGTGTGCCCAAGCCATTTGGAAAGTTGACAATTTTAGATAAATCAGCCCGAAGAGAATGACCATTGATGCATTGTTCTATCAATTAAAGAGCCAAATGATACCATCTGAGTTGATAGAGGATGCACCCAAGACGATGGGAAACCTAGATTCATTCCTATACACTGATTACTTGCATTGAAAATTGAAACTGGAGCATAGCAACCCGATACTATGAAGAGGCTACACCATTGACCAGCCCAGAGCCCTGCTGCTCAGCAGGAAGCAGGACCCAGTCGCGCACACCACCCTTCCAATCTGCAATACGACCCTCGGTGACTCTTACAGTAACAACCCGCACATCGGTATCAATGGAAACGCTAGGCCGTCTGGCGTTAGGATCCTGTTGCTGCTGCTGCTGGCCGAAGAGATTGATCTCCTCTTCCTCGAAAGTGTTATTCTCCAAATGACGAGCCTTGCACCATGACTCCTCTTCGGAGCCGGGCTCTAAGAACTGTGCCTCGCCCGTTATGGTAGTTGAGATGCTGGAGAGCGCGCTGGTGTTCAGGTTAAGCAGCAGGCTGGCCAGAGACGAGCGGGTAGCAGCGGGTGGTGGGGAGCCATCACGCTCACCCTGCACTGGAGCCCGGGTAGGTGGGCGATGCGACACCCAGTCGTGGACCAGCAGTGAGACCCGCGGGTTGGACAACAGGTGGTTTGTTTTCCGCGATGCGGGGTTCGTGGTCATGATGATGGTGGGGCGCGGGTCAAATGGTGTCGAGGGGAGATAGGTGTAGGACATAAGTGAGATGTGGGGTGTTTTATCATCGCATGTTGCCAAGTGCAGCTTGATTAGGGCGATAGAAGGTCAGTTTGGTGGGCTAGGTATCTGTGCAATGGCCCTGTACTTACGAAGCGGGAGTTCTTCAGACACGAAACGACCTCGGATGGCAATGAGGTAGCGACATGGGGATGAGTGGTGGTCGCCGATGCCTCGTAAGACAGCGGGGGATTGACTGATTCGGCCATGTTCTTGTGATTTGAGAACCAAAATAGTAATGAAGTTGAGACCTCTGGAGGAGCGGGTCGAGATCTGCCCGGGGGCGGTGTCCCGTTACCCAAAGGGCGTGCCCACGATTTATCCGACAACGTCATCACTTCATGTTTCTTGTGGATTTCCAACTTGGTAGCCTACTTACAAGCTATGCTCCGATATACGGCAGTTTGCTAATTTAGTCTCATTTTCGGTGGACATATGATAGAACACTCCAGACAAGAACCTCAGCACAAACAGACTCGAGGTGATGCGTGAAAGAGTGGAGACAGCTCAGACACCGTCATGGCGGCAGATGTGTCGGATGTTGTATTATTGTAGCATGGGATTTTATCTGTCGAGTACAAGCCAACAGCTGTGTCTCTGCTCCGCACTCCGCAGCTATATAGTACTAGTCTCATAATAAGTGGCGATATGCGCTACCTAAGTATCCCACTGGCTGCAGAAGTCCAAGGGTATCAAGTACATCTAAGAAGATGTCATAATTACCCACATTTTAGTGTGAGATTGGCTGTAAACTTGGGCAAGTGGTACCAGCACAGCCCGTCACGATTACTCCATATCAAGAGCTCGGGGGAGCTCCTTCCCCGCACCTAAGAGCTAGTCAACATATGTGCATCTACTGACATGTTATTTGGAGTATTTCATGTTGGAATCAATTCATAGAGACTGGCCAGGACAGATATAGACTGATCTGCAGTCTTGTACCTAACTTCCATCACTGGTACTCCGTACAACATACACATTCTGATACTCTCCGATCCGATCGGTACACTCATCCCCCGATCATCGCCCCCTTCTTCAACTCTCCCTCTCCCCTGCAATTCCAGCCTGAACCCTGAACTTACCTATCCACTCTCTTATCCCCCTCCTTCACTTTGTTTCTTACCATCTTCACCTCTTCTTCACACTCCCTAGATTCTACACGTTCCCCATCTCAGCTTGTGGTTACCTTTGGATTCATCATTGCCAAGCGTATTTTCTGTCCCTTGGTCTTTCCACATCACATCATGTTAGGTCCACGCGCAGCTCGCTCAGGACGATCGGTGACTTCACTCTTGCGACCATTCAGCTCGTCAGCTGTGGCCTATCGTTCTCCCTCCATTCGAGATATTACTGCCCAGTCGACCGAGGAATACCTCAGACGACAGAAAGAGTTCCGTGAGAACTTGGAACAGGCTCGGCTGAGAAGAGAACAGCAAGAGAGTCAGTCTGTCAACGCTTCTGCTTCTTCAACTTCCCCTTCCCGTGAGTACGCTCCCACTGCTCCACAAGTGAGCAATGCGAGCAAACATGATCGTATCAACCCTACTTTCGATGCTGCCTCGACGCTTGACCAGAAAGGACTGGGCTCACTCTCAATGCACCGCTATCTAGGGGATGACCAGCATCAAGAAGCTGCGGCCAAACGTGGCCCTCTGTCCTCGCTCATCTACGGCACCAAGGAAGGCCAACATTTCGACAAGGATATGGAGCGCTCCTTCTCACAGGTTCTAGCACGCGGCAAATACGTCCATTCGATCGTGATGCACGACGTTAAGCCCGACAAGGTTGATGAATACGTGGAACTGGTGGGCCAGTGGTACCCCCGTATGGCAGGTGCCGAGGAGAACCGTGTCAACTTGGTGGGCAGCTGGCGGACGCAAGTGGGTGACAATGATACCTTTGGTAAACCCTGATCAAATGGCCTTCCCATTTTCTGTGGGCTGACCCTTGTCCTTGCTTGAATAGTCCATATCTGGGAATACCAACGGTATGAAGGATACCATGAATCTCTTCACTCCATCTCGGAACACCCGGAGTTCCGTGATTTCGATCGCAAACTCAAAAGCCTGATTAAGAGCAAACGGACTTCGTTGATGCAGGAGTTCTCGTTCTGGCCCACAACCCCGCCTCGTCGTCTCGGTGGACTGTTTGAGCTTCGATCGTACACACTGCATCCGGGTAATCTCCTAGAGTGGGAGACACACTGGCGTCGTGGCCTTACAGCTCGTCGTGAGGTGATGGAAGGTGTAGGCGCATGGTTTGTACAAATCGGCGAATTAAACACAGTACACCACCTGTGGCAGTTTGCCAACTTGGAGGAGCGCAAGATCTGCCGTGAGCAGTCGTGGGGCATCGAAGGCTGGGCCGAGACGGTTCACAAGACCGTTCCCTTGATCCAGACCATGCAAAGTCGGATTCTCGTCCCGATGCCGTGGAGCCCTGTCGGCTAAATTGTGAGACCCAGCTGAAACGCTTTCCCTTGGCCTTTGCTCCGGGTCTTGGTACACAAGAAATACTCATAGTTTGAACGAGCAGGATGTTGCGAGGTGCGTTGACCGATATTGGTCTTGCTATTACCCTTATTCCCTTTCTGTCGGGATGCATGCTATTGGGATACTAGGCCCTTTGCATCGGATTCTGTATGATGTACCTAAGCATTAAGCATGAGTCAAATCCATTAGTCAAATATAAAAACTTTTCCCCATGTTGTCCGTTGCGTTCAGATCTCATTGCCAATCCCGAATGTGCCCTCGGACAACCTCACTTTTTGCTCATCTCACCACTTTGAGGCATTTCAATGGCAACGCTTAGATCGCTTGGGTTGATGTGTTACGTAGTTGAACAGTAATCTGCACATAGATTGCCGAGCCGAGAGGAACAAGTTACAAGCATGTAGTCAAATATCCAGTACATACGAACTAGTGCGGGCACCAAAGACGAACATCTCGATCTTATCTAAGACCTCATCCTTTCTCTCCGCCGGCAGAAAAAAAGTCAACAAAAGATCGAGACCAAGTGGCCTTTTTCTCCAACGTCGATCTTTAAAAATCGAATTCCCATAGACCTGCGTCTACGGCTGTTTCTTTCAAACGGAGGTCCGGTCTTCTTCTTTCTCCTCTTCTTCATCCTTTCCTTTCCCCCTCTGTTTTCAGTTTCCCTTTTTGCGGCGATACCTTCGGCGATATCGTTCATGATTACACTTTGACCTTAGTCGCGTGCCTGAAACTCGCAGCAGTACCCGAACCTCACATTTTTAACTGCGAAAGCTGCGTTAATTACATGCCTAACGCTCGTAACGAAGAACCCAAATAGACACCGCCGCGTTCACAGACGCGCAAAACAACCAAGAGAATGGTGTACATCCGGCAACACGAATTGGCGAATCTGAAGAACTACAAATATGTTGGAATCGACCATTCGCCTGTCAGTCGGTATATCTTGAAGCCGTTCTACACCAATTACGTGATTCGCTGCTTCCCCATGGGAATGGCGTGAGTATGCTCCCTCTCCTTGCTTTCGTTCCCCGGACTAGGTGTGCAGGGGTTTATACATCCTTGCGCTGGTGCCCTTTTCTGCATACTGAGTGTTGATATGCTGTTCTTCCTCGTCTCCTGTCCTCTCATTCCAAGAGATCTATACATAGCGCAATATGGCTGACTCTATTCATCTACTCTTTGCGTGTTTAAAGACCCAACGCCGTAAGTCTTGCCCAAGCGAAAATGTTATGGTTTCTGGAGTTTAAGAACATATTCTAATCCCTCCCTTTGGTAGATTACTCTCACCGGATTTATGTTCGTGGTAATTAATTTCCTCACCGTTATGTGGTACAACCCGAACTTGGATACGGACTGCCCACCATGGGTCTATGTCAGTTGTGCGATTGGCTTGTTCCTGTACCAGACCTTCGATGCCGTAGATGGCATGCAGGCGTACGTCTACAAAATTCTGTTCGATAGTTCAGAGGCGTTCTACTGATGCTGGCTGCATTTTAGACGGAGGACGAGACAGAGTGGCCCGCTGGGTGAGCTCTTTGATCACAGTGAGTTCCCGAAGACAACATGAAAAAATGCCAAAGAGCGTATTTCTCTGATTGTTTGTTTCTACGTTACTAGGTGTCGACGCATGCAACACCGGTCTCAGCGTATTGGTTTTCGCGGCGGCAATGAACATGGGCCAGTCCTGGATGACCTTTATTGCTCTATTCGGATGTAAGCCCAGCCCTCTCCATGCCCTTCAAAGCATACATCGTCTCTGACAATCACAGCAACAATGACCTTCTACGTTCAAACATGGGATGAATACTATACGCAAGTCCTCACCTTGGGCGTGATTTCCGGTCCCGTCGAGGGCATCCTCACCATATGCCTCGTCTACCTGATCACCGCCTACATGGGCGGCGGCAGTTTCTGGCACCAGCCCATGCTGGAAACCATCGGGGTGCCGAAGCCGGGCTTCCTCCCAAGCCAGGTGTACAACCTGCCCTTTACATATTGGTATCTTGGATATGGCTCCCTCATGCTCTGCTTAGCCATCGGCTCGAGTATCATGAACGTCATGAAGGTGTGTCGCAAGCGAGGCCAGGACCCCGTCGGGCCGCTGTGTGGCCTCCTGCCCTTGGCGGTCATCTGGACTCTCATTCCCGCCTACCTATACCTGCAGCCAGTGATTCTGGAAAACTACACCATTCCCTTTGGAGTGTTTGTAAGTCTTATCAATGCCTACTCTGTGGGCCGCATTATCATCGGCCACCTCACTCAGACGAGTTTCCCCTACCAAAATATCCTGCTGTACCCGCTCGCTTTGGGTGTTTTGGACAGCGTGGGTGCGATGGTCGGCTTGTGGTCTGCCCCCGTGCTTGGGTTTGGTGTTGGGCAGGTGGCATTCACATTTGGGTTATTGGGACTGGCTGTCGGTGTGTACGGTAGCTTCGTGGTACTTTTCCCCTCCCCTCATCCCTGCGCGCGACGATTCGCTGATCTTGATCTCCTCTAGTTCGACATTATCACCACGATATGCGACTACGTCGATATCTGGTGCCTCACAATCAAGTACCCGTTCGTCGAGGAGACCGAGCGCAAGACCGGCGTGTCGAAGAAGACCAAATAAAGGGATTGTCGGCTCGATCCAGGGGGGATGGTGGGCTTGTGGTGGACGGCATCTCAACCTCGATTACCGCAGGCGAGAAGTTTCAATTGAGCTAAGTGGGAGAGTCGGGTATCAATCGGACACTTGAAAAGCGCGTTGGAGATAATGATGCCTGACTAATGACTTTTCCAGTACAAATTTTAGCTTCCCTTCAACACAGAGCAATTAGCTCGGAGTGGTGTTCTAGCGATAGAATATGAGAGTTGTAAAATTGCCGTTCCAAGGATGTTTTGAGATTGATGTAGAAGAATAGTGAAGCACCTGACTGCCTGCCCGCAGCGGAATCCACGTCTCCACACGGAACCAGCGTTTGAGCTTGTGCTTACCTCATTAGCTTACCTCATCCGGCTTTGATTGGTGCAAAGTTCGCCGCCTTCCCGAATGAGGACAAGCGAGGGCACAAAGCGGCACAAAGCCCTACCTCCACCCAAACCGGTCCAAATCCCTTCAGACTTCTCTTGGAAGACCACCTCATCCGCATCACACAAGGCCATCGCCATCAGCGCCATTAATCAACTATCTCGCTGATCGACTTTCACTCGTCAAGATGGTAAGACCATTTTCGCCCTACTTTTCCGATCGGTCCATGTTCGATGCGATACACACGGACATGAATGACATGGATTATCGATTCCAAAAATCCAACGTCCACCAACGCTAACATGCTGTCGATAGGTTCTCGCGGTCGATCTCCTCAACCCCACCCCCCAGGCCGAGGCCCGTAAGCACAAGCTTAAGGTATGAGCCAACCTACCTCCGAAGGATGCACCAAAGATGTGAAATTATCAACCCGACGAGGGGCGAAATTCTGGACATTCGACCTGGACCTCCGAAGCTCGACATGGAGCAAATGGGAAAAGGCACCGAACGACAGGAATGATATGGAAATTTTTGGAATGTTTGGAACAATGATGGCTGATTATCGACTCCTCTCCGCCTACAGACCCTCGTGCCCCAGCCCCGCTCCTTCTTCATGGACGTCAAGTGCCCCGGTTGCTTCACCATCACCACCGTCTTCTCGCACGCCCAGACCGTCGTCATCTGCGCCGGTTGCTCGACCGTCCTCTGCCAGCCCACCGGTGGTAAGGCCCGTCTGACCGAGGGCTGCTCTTTCCGCCGCAAGTAAACGAGAAACGAATGAAAAACTTTTTTTTTCTTGTTATGTTCCGGTTGAAACGTCAAAGAGAGAATTTAGCATGGAGAAATTAGGATGAAAATACCAAAACCCGGGGTTGACCTCTTCTTACCTTTTTTTTGATCGTCTCGGCTTCGGTTTTCGGTGTTTCGGGAAGAGAGTTGCTATTCGAGCCCGGTTCCATACACTGGGCTTCTCTTTCTTTTCAGCCGGGCTTCAAAATGTCACATACCAAACAACCCTTTTTTTCAATATCACCCTTCCCCTACCGAACCACCTGGGCAGACTTTTTTTTTCTCTTAACTGTTTTTCGACTGGTGTTGGGCTCGTGAGGGCGTGTGATTTGCAGATGATGTGATATGGCTCCTTTTCCATATTATATGAGTGTGCCGAATCCCCTCTTGAAGAAGACAAAATTTGAATGTGGCCTTTTGGGACCCATTTATCATCCTATTTTCCACCCACTGCGTGTTCTTTTTTTTGCATTTCGCGGTGACGATTCATATCTCAGCGTTGAATTCTTGATTTCCTTTGCGCGTGATGACAGATAGAAGATGGAATGCCCCGACCCTGTCAACGACCCCCAAAAAGCATACGAAAAAAAGCAACTAGCATTTTGCTAAGGGAGTTCCGGATGTCTGGCACAAAAAAGGCACCTCGCTTGACTATGTGCTCTGTTCTATGTTCTGATTTTCTGCTTTCTTGTGTTTACCGTATTCAATGTACCTGCGACTACTGTATATCGGGCTCCACACTCCATGTCATGAGTTGTACCTTGGATGGCTGACAATTGTAGATGTATAGCCGTAGCTCTACAATGCCGTGCATGGCATCCTGTTATGTCACATGGATCACCATGACCCGTTATATGTGCTATTCGCCGGTCTAGCTCGCAATCCTTGAGTGGTCTGTGACTGAATGAGAGTTCCAAGTTCCTAGATTCAGATCGCGTTGTGAGAATCCGTTGCACGGCTCCCAAAGCAACACGAGCTTCGCATTTCTAATAGACCTGCCGAGGATGCCACTGCAATGATTTCGATTAGCTTGATCAAGCCTATGGAGAGTGAGAATAGTGAGAAAATCAACGATCAACAACACCAGAAGAATCCCCTATTGTATTGGGGATGGTGAACTACAGTTTTCTCAGAGACCTTGGAACGAGCTAGTTCAGCTTACCTGTCAGATCAATCCTTGGCTCTCCAACGAAGTAACGACTGTATACATCGTAAGTGAATCTGCCAAGATGCAAAGGGGTTCAGGTGGATAAGGCGACCCAATAACTTGATTCTAAATGCGGGGGGTCGACAGAGGGTAACTGTCGGATTTCATCCTTTCCTTGTCGCACTGACTCCTGGCTACGGGTCCATACAATAGAAAGGGGTGCTCGAGTCCATTCGCTGCGCCTTGTGGTGGATCATCAGACACCAGAAAATCCACCTATTGTCCCAGTCAGCCTTAGCCTGGGCTAGATGAGACAGTGAACCCCAAATGCATCAAATCAATGCAAGAACATGCACACGAGGTACACACATACACCCGGCCAAATTAGAACCTTTCAACCCCAAGAACAAGATTCTCTTCTCTTGAACTGGTCACTGGCTATGAGCATTCCCGTGTTCCCGTGTCAACATACTGGTTACTCCTACGGCACTGTTCCAACCCCCCTTGAAAGGATATTTATTCTTCGGTTCTTCCCCTATCACTCGGGACACCATGGTAGTTTTCCGTTGATGCAGTTTCGGGGCCTTACAACTAGTCATTTCATGACCAATGCAATTGCTTTCGTCGTCTTAAATTCCTCCATTGTTGGCAGTGCGCACTGCCTTGCGCAGACTGACGTTCTCAATATGAGCGATCACGAGTATCTGTTACATGGATTCTGGATTCACACTATTCTTGGGAATTTCTTGTCATCTGGTTTGACCTCTACAGATATTTGCACTGTGAACTGTTTCGGGTGAGTTCTTATCACACCAACTCTGTGGTCGAAGAGAAAATTCCCAGAGACTGCGCTTGAAGCAGGGGCCCCTAGGAGTGAGGATTTTCGGGTTCTGTACATCGTAGAGAAGCATGCTATATACACAATAGTGATCTATAGCCCTGCTTTCTTGTCTCCCTTGGTTTACTTCTTCTTCGCTTGGTAAAGTCAGTAGGGTCCTGTAGGGGGATTTGCAAATGCTTCTATTCCAATTGCACTTCCGTTAGCCTTGTTATGCTCTGAGAGGGGGGGAGGGGTTGTAAAATCTACGCCTACTGGGTTCAAGAACACTCGAAAGCTTGAAGACCAACTCTGGATGATGCCGTCTGTTCTACATTTGACTGTGGACATACAGCATAGTTGCCCTGAGATAGCGGGTCCGGCGAGTTCCCCACCCTGCACACCACGCTTGTCTGCCTTGGGATGGGCTTCAAAGTGACCAAGCTTAGAGAAAGGTATTTTTGTCACCTTGCCCGATACTCCTATTTTATTTGGTCATCTATCGATCCTCTTCTTTTCCGTGGAGACGAGAGAAATACCAACCCTTCAATTCCACTCAAGCTTGGATGTATATAGAAGGCATGACATGATAGAGTGAGGCCGTTGGTGCACAAGAAGCCACTGGACAAGCGATGTCAGCATCGAAGAGAAAGATAGAAACCAAAGACCAAGCAAGCAGACAGACCAAGTTCTTCCCGACGCCTCATCCTGTTGAACAAAAATGTAGAAATTAATAAGAATCTCGAGCATGGAACCCCTTACTGGGTCAAAATGAGAGCCTTGGTCTTGATCTCCGCGCCGAAATCAGCGGGGTTGGAGGGGTCACCGCCGGTCATCATGGACAACTTTCCAGACTTGTCATTGATGAGCATGTTGGCGAATGCATTGCGACCTTCAATCTCGTTCACGGCGGCCTTGGCACCGTTGTCGCCGGCAGCATACTTGTCGGCGTCAACGGCCTTCAGTTGGTTATGGCTGTTACGGACAAAGTCGTACAGGAAGAAGATAGTTGGGTGGGTGTTAGGGGGCTGGCACTGGGGGTGGGATTCAAAGGCACTGTTACCAAAATGTTAGCAATTTACTGTTTATGTTTTTGTGAGGTGGATTATTGAGGGGTTCAGAAAGGTGTTGCGTGGTGGTCTGAGGTGGGGGAGACATGCTCGATGAGCGCCTGCATCTTGGCATTGAGGTCTTGGATATTGGCAGTAGACATGACTGCAGGTTTGATGTGGTAATTCTGAGATGAGAAATATGGAAGACTTGAATTGGGATGTTGATGTGATGGAGCTGTTGAGGGTCAGAATTTCCCAAATAGGACTCCGCGCCCTTATCTAATCGCACCTACATCGAAG